AAAAGGGTCATTTTTAGGTCACAGGGAATCACTAAAAGACCTGTTATGGCTTTGATCAAGAATGTCCCCCAAAGGCCTTGCCCAAGGTGACTGGATCATGAGGGGTGAGATAGCTGACTTGCTGTTGGGAGATGGGGTCTGGTTTGAAGATACGGGTTAGTGGAGATGTGACCTATAAGGGTCTGTCTCCCTCCTTGGCTCCTGCCTTCCCTCTCTGTCTTCTGGCCACCATGATGTGAGCAACTTTCCTCCACCCAGTCAGTCCTCCATGTACTTCCTGCCTTGGAGCTGGCCAACTAAAAACTGAAAATATGAGCCAAAATAAACCCCTCCTTCTTTAAATTGGGGGTGTCAGATATTGTGTCCAGAAACGAGGAAATGACTAAGACAAGAGAGGATGGAGGCATCAGGACTGAAATGTGTTCAAGGCGTTTTTAGCTCTCCATGCATTTCTGTGTAGAATGTGCAACTGATTCTCCCAACAACCCTGTGATGCATGCAAGGGAGGTAATGTGGTCCTATTGTACAGATGAGACAAAAAAAAGGCTCATAGAGGCTAAAGCACCAGGTGAGTCAGCAGCTAGTGGGTAAGAAAGGAGCATAAGTACACTAAGTGCTAGGCCCCTGCTACAGCCTCCAAATTTGAATTAGTTGGACTATCCTTTAGTGAGTCAAGAACATAGGTGTTTTCAGAAACACTTAAAAAACAGATGATCCACATCCTTTGCTGGTTTTCCTTCTTTGAGAGAAATGATGCTTCAAGAATGCAGGCAAAGCCTGAGGTTTCATTCATAGGACTGCCTCAGTGGTCAGGAGAGAGTGGAAATTTCCACACACCAGGGTTTTACATGTATACTTCCAGAAATGAAGGAACAGTCAGGGTCCAAAACGTTCAAGCAGATTAAAACACATAGCTTTCTGAAAACCTTTGCTGATTCTGGCCAACTTTCAGGCTTCTCCAGAATCCAATGGGGCCAACATGATTCACCGAATTCCTTATGAATTAAGAAGCTGTAAATTACACATCTTTTCTTTGAAACATGCGTTACTTTCCACACTTTACAGCCAAACTGAATGAACAGTATCACAGAGCCAGTTTTCTCTCTGGGAAAATGTTCTCCCCACTCTCCTTGGTCTTCAGTGCAGGACGGCCTGGTGAGGCTGGGGAAACAACCCAATTTGCCATTCTTTTTTCTTTCTTTCTTTCTTTCTTTTTGGAGTTTGAAAGTGCAAAGTGCTGTCTGTGCATAATATTTCACTGTGAAAGTTTTAAGCCCAGGTTTTAGGCAAAGAGCAAGTACAAATCACACTTGTGCAACTGGCCAAGCAAAAGGAACAGTGGGAGAGATCCATTTCTGGGGAAGCTTGGAGACTGGAAAGTGGAGGGGCTTGGAGGAACGGGATGTTTGCCCTCCCCTGGAAATCAGAGCAATGGCTTGTCCTTCAAGATCATTCATTCTTTTGTGGATGACATTCTGTGTGCTAGATAGTCCCTGGCCCTGGAAGCAAAGCAGCCCGCACTCCAGGTGGAGGAGAGGTGCATGTGCTGAGCCATGTTCAAGTGGGCCCAGGCTCAAGTGGCTCCCAAACAGCCACCTCTACTGCAGGACTTGAGTTCTGGCTCTAGATAAAGAAATGAACCTATGGCCACAGTCTTGCCTCAGGATGGCTGCTATCCGGTGACGATATCTGTGTTTGCATTCATTTATTTAAAAATTATTCTCTGTAAAACATCAAAAAGAATAGTTTGGAAAGAAATAGTTTGAGAAAAGCTAGCTGTTTTCAGAAAAGACAGAGAACAGCTATAAGATACTTGAGCATTTAGAAAGATTGTTTTACCAGGGATAGCTCCATAAAGAGGTGCAGATGTTGTTATACAAAATGATTTTGCTCAAAGAGCATGGAATTTTGCTCTGTCCTCTATCCCATTTATCATCCAAGAAGTGAGACAGAAGGTCTGGGTAGGCATACAGTTTGGGGTGGAGTTAGGAGGCCTGGCTTCTACCCCTGCAGGCCCAGAACCTCAGAGACTCAGGCCCTTTCCTGCATTTGTGAGGCGGGAGTTTCCTCATCATCTGCAAAGACTAGATTCCTTCACCCTTTCTGTAGTCCTCCAAACCACTGGGCATCAGGAGATACTGACCCTTTCCACCCCCAGCAAGCTCTGAAGCCCCCAGTTGTACACTAAGCAGCTCTTCAAGGCTTGAGACCAAGAGCAGACCTCTGACTTCTGACAATGGGATAAAGTGCAAGGCTTCTGAGCACTGAGATCTAGAATCCTGTGGGAATTGGTTGACTGACCTAGGCCAGCAACCGTATTCTTTGTGTGGTGTGTGTGGTCTCATGGGAGGGAACCTTAGAGCAGAGTTCCTGGGGGAACTGTAGCATAGCCAGGGCCAGTACCCCTCACAGACCTCACTGCCGGCCAGGCCTTGCTGAGGGGACAGTGTCTCCTCACAGCTGCCCAAGCCCCACAGAGACACAAACAACACCCTCTTCTGAGTTACACAAGTGACCATCCAGGCTTGCCAAGATGAGGACAGGCTCTGACAGGGGCAATTTTATTTCATAGGATCAAGGAGATGGAATAAAAAGTTTCGGCTATTAAAAAAAAGGCATTAGGCCATCTTCCAAATAAACAAACTATCCTTTGAACAAGAAAACAGCCTTCTAAGTGGGTCAGACCAAGGCCAGATCACAGAGGAGTCAGGCCTACCTTGGGCCCTGTTCACCACTCAATCCCATCCCCCCAATTTTCTACTCCGCTGTTTTGTGCCCAGTGCTTTCCTACGGGTCCTTGGCAAGAAAAGATTTGATATAAAAAAAGAAAAGAAAAGATTTGATAAGCTCATCTAACACAGACCATTCCAGAAAAATGCTCACATCTGGTAGAGTGGCCTCTTCAAATCACTAAGGGGAGAATTCTGGCAGGGTGAATATCTTCAGAATCTCTCAGTCAAGTCACACGATCAAGGCAGTTACCAGCACCTCAGAAACATCAGATTTGTATCCACTACCAACCTGGCACACTTAAAAAGTGATCTAAAACATGATTTTTCTCTCTCACAGTTTGCAACCTCTTTCTATAGTGAATGTGAACATATATACACATATACATGGAATGATCTATAGGATGCCAAAATAAAGAGAGTAGGAGAACTGGAGAATTTCCCACCATCTTACAGTGCTACTTGAAGAGCAGAATTCTAAAGACCTGTTTTCATTTCTTTGATTTCTCAGCATTATCTACTTCATTCTAACTTCCTTAGTGCTTGGATTAAGTCAGAACTTTGAACCATTATTTTTATTAAGCAGAATGTACTCTGTTTTTCAAAGTGTAACTATATTAATCAAGATCTAATACAAACAAATACAAAATAAACATAATTTGAGAGGACATTATTCTTCTAGTAAATGGTTTTATGCTCTAAATACATACTTGTCACTGAATTAAAAAATACACTGCCACATTCATAGCATGTAGTTTAAAGACAAAGATTAGGACTTTGGCATCAAAGACTAAAAAAAAAAAATTAAAAAGAGGTTAAAAACCACTTTAAAAATAGCCATGAAAATATTTCCTTGAAGCCTTAGGTGACTGAACAAATACAAGTTGTACATCCTTTACCTTCATGCAAAATGCTTGGGACCAGAAGTGTTTCCCATCTCAGATTGTTTTTTAGACTTGGGAATATTTGTATATACATAATAAGACACCTTGAGAATGGGACTTAAGTCTAAACATGAAATTCACTTATGTTTCTTATACATTCTGTACACATAGCCAGAAGGTCATTTTATGGAATATTTTTGGTGAGCCTACATTCTGACTAACAGCTGTCACATGAGGCCTGGGGTGTGGCATTATGTCTTTGCTCAGGAAGTTTCAGAATTAGGGCATTTTAGACATTCAGATGGAAGATGCTCAACCTGTACTGAACCAGGAGTGAAAAGCTTCGGGTCTGGTCTCAGCCTGTCTATGACCTGGCAGACACCACTGGATGAGACACTTTAACTTCGCTGTATCTCTCTTTTCTCACATCTTATCACACATCTCGAGACACAAAACTAACATTGAGGTGATTTCCAAAAATGCTCTTAGACTCCAAACACATAATCTTATTATGTTTTCAAGAATTAAAAATGGGTATAGTGCTGGACTGTGACCAACACTGCTTCTCTCTGACTGTGAGTCCGAGGCTGAAGACTGAGCACCGGTGGGTGCAGGTGCTGTTTTCTCCTCACAGTGAGACATGTTTGCACTAATCCCTAATGCTTTTTCTCATCTTGCGTGTGCCTGTCAGCCCAGGATGGACTGGGGGAGCCCAACAGCCTCTCCCAGTCAGAGAACAGGATTTCCATCTCTTAAACAGGGCTCTTGGCTACTCAGGAAACTTTTGTCAACACAAGTCACAAAGAGATGAAAAATGTCCTTTTTATTGTGGTGCTGATAAAACACACATAACTTTGCCCTCCATATACGTTAACAATTTCTGTGCTTTTGCTAACAATGACGGTTGTCCTTTACAGAGCTCAGAGTCCCAAAACAAGGTTTGGAAAGGCCAACAATTATTGCTGTGATAGCATGTGCTGTTGTGGACCCAGAGACAATCAGTCATGGTGATGGTCTAGCTGGGAGAGAAGCAACTGGAAAGTTCTGGGTCCTTTTGGAATTTCCTTCTGGAGTTCATGGGAAATGAATAGAATGAGTGATGAGAAAAATTTTGCAAGCCTCGAAGAAAGAACTCAAAACACATCTGTTCTTAACCAGGACAGTGCGGGTCTGAACTCCTGAGGAATGACTATCTTTTCTCTGACATCTAAAACTTAGCAGTAAAGACAAGCTGAGCAAAGCAAATTAGCAAATCACTTGAAAAAGTGTTTCTTAAGATCTGGAGCATCTGGAAAAGGCTTTCACCTGTTAAAGTTTCCATTAAAGGTGAGTTCCCCAGCCATCCCAGAGCAGCACAAGACCGTTTCTCACAAGCAGCAAGACTTACCAGGTAGCGTTCCTCTTGCCTCATACTGGGGGTGCGGATCATGTGATTCTGTTCCCCTCTCCAGTCTCCAAAGCGACGGAAAAAATAGTTAGATAAGAACCGACTGACAGGGTCTCTGATGATGTTGATGTAGACGGGCTGGTCTCCTCCAAACCTAACACACACATGCACACAAACAGGAGCTCATTACAACCCAATACTTTGGGAGGAAATGAAGCCTTACTTGAATAAGGTCTGTCTTGTAGGTTAACTCAGCATCCAAGCAAGACCTTATCTGCTAGCATGCGCACTTGCATAAGCAAGCCCAGTGCTTCCTGATGGGCATCTTGTCACCACACAGGAAGTGGAGACAATGACACCTGATTCAAGTCTCTGCCAAGAAGCTGTAAGGACAGTTTCATAGTACAGAAAACCAAATACATGTCAGAGCCAAGGTGCAGATGTTGTCTGGTTTTCTCACCAGGCCTAGGTTTGTTGAAGACAGAGATGATGCTGTATTGAGCTCTGTATTCCCAGTGGCAGGAAGAACTGAGTGGCATGCAGGTGGCCCTCAGCGGATGCTTCAATCCACTCTCCAGTTCTGATTGTCTTGGTAGATGACATGCCACTTCTATAATGCAACTGCAATAGTTCAAGATGAGGTATTCTGCTGTGAGTGGGTTACCAGTGGCCAGCCTGCACTGAATACTCACTCTGCACCATGATCTCAATACTTTGCGTGACCAACTCACTGAAGCCCTTGGCACCTCCATGGAGCAGATATCCCAATTATTCCTATTTATACTTGGGGAAACTAAGGCAGGAAGAGGATAAATACTTTGTGGCTGATCCAGGTGATGAACCCTGGTGATCTGGCTCCAGAATCTGCATTCTTGACCATGGAAAGTTGAGAAAAGTATCAAAAATGAAACAAAAATCTGCACAATTATCTTCCAGTGATGGAAAGTGGTTTTAGATTAAAGAATAAAATAAATATCTAGATGTCTCATTTTCATTGCTTCCACAAAGGAATCAGACAACTGCAGAGAGCTCGCCTGAGGACTAGGCCTTCACAAGGCAAGATGTCCAGGTCAGCTGAATTCTCCTCAGGATTCTTCCTTGTCTCTTTGGACTGCTTAGAGTGCTCCGGAGCAGTCTTGAGGGAACACACTATGGACAGGGCAAATGTTATGTTCTGGTGACTCTCGAAGACCTTATTGGAAACTCAGCCTAGGATCCCAATTACATCTTCAGTATACTGTCTGTCCCTCCCTCTGCTATGCCCTGAGTCCTCTTGCTCATATTACATTGAAGTATCTGTCTCTTTCACTGGACTGTGAGCCTCCTGCAGCCAGGGACTGTACCATTTAGCACAGTGTGTGGCACACAGCACATGCTCAACAAATGGGGACTGACTGCAGAAATACAGTAATTCCTTGGTTCACGAATGCTTCTGTTTGCAAATAATCTGGTTTTCACACAAAAGCATTTGACAAAAAAATTTTTGCTTCCATTCACAAATTCCATATTGGATGACAAACATAACTGTGGCCATCTTCCCTACACCAATATAAATGCAGCCATTTTCCCCCAAATCATGAAACAAAATAAGTTCGTGAACCAAGGTACCTCAGTAAACATCTGGGCGCATTTGTTTCAGCTGTTACATTTCTGTGTGTATCATGGGATCTGTTGCCAGGGAAAAGTAGACAGAACAAGCCACCAATGCTTTTTTTGTGCATCAACTCATATAACGTTGAACTGGTTTATTTGCCTTTTTAAAAGAGGATCTCCAGAGAGAAGACTCCCAAGGAACACAAAGCAATAACTCTCTCATAGTGAAATTTCGGGTAGAAATGGTTGCATGCATGATATTCTGAGCTCCCCAGGTACTGCCAAGTAGGAGAACTTTCTGTTTATGAGCAGGATGAGCCTTGCCAATGGATCTTGTTCAGTTCCCAGATGTTTATTAGTGACATTCATGCTATTGTGTGAGCAGCTAACTGTAGTCCTAGGACTGAGCTGTGCCAACCATCAGCTAACCACCACATGCATTCTAGATTTATCATCCTCTTTTAATTAAGTTGGGTTTTATATCTACAATAAACGGCGACTAAATTAATGATGCTAGGGACTAGGAACACAAAGCATGCACACCAAATATGAATCTAACTCGACCCTCAAAACTGCCTCTGTCTAGATGTCCCATTTTCATTCCTTCCACAAAGGGAGCAGGCTATTGCACTGAGAGCTGGCCTGAGGACTAGGCCTTCACAAAGCAAGATGACCAGGTCAACTAAATTCTCCTCAGGATTCTTCCCTGTCTCTTTGGACTGCTTGCAGTGGTGCTGAGTAGTCTTGAGGGAACACACTATGGACGGGGCAAAGGTTATATTCTGTACCTCAAGAGTATTTTTATCTTTGTGACTCAGTCATGTGACTCAACAGGCAAATTCTCAGAGATGGTCCTCTGGCTGATGAGGTCAAAGACATGGGGACTGACACAGATAGTTGAATATGGAGGACTTGTTCCTACTTGGACACTGAAACCCAATGTGAGATTTCCAGAATAATGTTTTGTGGCAGTTAATCTAGACTGCCAACTTAATTGGCTTGAGGGAAGCCTAGTAAAGTATACTTTTGAGTGTGTATGGGTGGGTCATGGAGGCAAAATCTTGGGGATTATATATTTCCTGGCCCCTTCGTCTCTGGTACTGACCCTCTGCTCTGCTTCTGGGCTGCCATAAAGTGAGCAGGTTTGTTCCACTATGCCTCTCTGCCATGATGTTCTGCTCACCTCAGACTCATAGCAGTGAAACCAGCTGACCATGGGCTGAAACTCCATTTTTGTTTTGATACTAGGGATTGAACTCAGGACCTTGCACTTGTCAGGCAGGAGTGGCACCGCTAAGTTACATTCTCGGCCCAGACTGATGCTTCTGAAACAGTGAGCCAATTAAACCATTTCCTCCTTTAAGTTGTGTATATTAGGCATTGTGAGCCAACAGTGGGAAAGTTGACCAAAACATTTTCCAAAACAGAAGTTCTAGATGGCATCCAAGTTCATTGCCAAGTAACAGATAGTATAATACTCTCTGTCTAGAAATTTCTAACTATGAATAGAGGTGTCTGATAGATATCTCTCCCTTTCTAGAGGCAACATTATAATGATTTCAGACTTCCAAACTTCATCCTTTTTAGAACACACAGCTTCCTCCCAAACTGGTAAAATCTGAGTGGCACGTCAGCATACAAACAGGACAGAACACCACCATCGTACCACTAGAATATATCATGTGTCTGGGAAGGAAAACAAATTTCTCCACCCTTACTCCACCCTCTTGCAGAATCAGATTCTCCTCTGAGTATTTTTAAAACTCAAAAATTGTAGTCAAAATTTTTAGTCAAATTTCTAGTCAGACCTATAAAGACTCTGGGTGGCATGAATCTTACTCAAGATTCCACTTTAGAGGTGACAATAGTTGGTGCCCAACCACCTTTAGAGAAGATTTCATAATCCTCCTGTGAATGCCCATCTACAGGTCGGGAGGTTGAAGAACCTTCGCCATACCTATCCATTATCTTAATCTTCTTTCTATGCACATTTCCTTTTGTTTGGGTCATATGACACAAACAATTAGCTTCTCACAAGTTTTTAAAACCTTTAGCCTTTTTTGGCTTCAATTTTAATGTCTTTATTTGTTTTTAAATTTTAAATTCCTTTGGCTTTTGTCAGAAGACTTATTTCCCTTCCTTGAAAGTATAGATTCTTTAAAAAAATTGTAGTAAAATACACATAACACAAAATTTACCCTTTTCACCAATTTTAAGAGTACAGTTCAGTGCTATTAAATACATTCACATTTTGTGCAACCATTACCACTATCTCCAGAATCTTCTCCTCTTCCCAAACTGAAACTTTGTGCCTATGAAATAGCAGATACCTGCCTCTCTCCCCTCAATCCCTGGGAAGCAATATTATACTGAAAGTATATCTTTTTAACCTTTGCCTGGAAGCAGAGATTATTTTTGTGCTGCTGTCTATGAGAAGTACCACAGGCTGGAGGCCTACGGTTTGGATGTTTGTTGGTAAGGGAGGGAAACACTTTTATATAAGAGAAAGGCCATTGTGGAAAAGGACATTGTTATAGTTTATATCTAGAATGTCCCCCATGAGCTTCATATATTCAGAAGTGGGGCTTCTGGAAGGTGATTGGATCACGGGTTCTGAGCTGAATATGCTATTAAGAGGCAGGGTCTGGTTAGAGACAGGTCACTAAGGATGTAACCTGGAAAACTATATCTTCCTTTGAGTCTCCTTCCTTCTCTCTCTCTCTGCTTTCTGGTCACCATGATAGGGGCAGCTTTCCTCCATGGCAGGCCCTTCCACCATGCCATTTCTGCCTTGGAGCCAGCAGACCATGAAGTGAAAATGTGAGCCAAATAAACCTTTCCTCCTTGTTGGTGTTGGGCAGTGTATCTTGGTGATGAGAAAGTGGCTAAGACAAACATGACTGTTTGGGGGCAGGATGAGGAGCTGCCTGAAAGAGAGGGGTAGATGGTTCATTTATGATCCCAGGCTAGAACTAGAGGAACTAAAGGCCTTGGCTGGGTGGGAGGTCCTCTTCCATCCTCAAACCATAAGCCCACCAGTTCTTAGATTCCTGGAACAGGACCTCCCATCACAAGTCACAAACAGAAGAGACTGAGTGCCTTCAATGTTCTGGGTGTTCCGAGGGAAGAGAGGTGGATGCATTTGCTGTGAGAAGCTGAGTCAGATGGGTGACAGGAGAGCATTACTGGGCCACTGCAGTTAGAGTTCCTGCTCAGAGAGGAAGATACAGTGACAAGGCAAGAAGCAAACAGCTGACAATAAATAGCAAGAACTAAACATGAAATGAGATGAGCTGAGGGAAAGTCCAGATTATTCTTGTCCTTAGTGGGTATCCTACATGTGGATGCAGAAACTCACCGTAGAGTGAAATTAGTCCAGCAGTGTTTCAGTATAGTAAACTGAGAAGAAACCTCTTGTCTTTAAATAAAACTTCTAGGGTCTGTTTAAGTAGGTGAAGACAATATTAAATAACCACTAGTATCAATTTCTACTTTGGAGTTATCTTCAAAGTTTGAACTTCTGTCACTGTTACAAAAGATTTGAAGGGCACAGAATCAAAA